CTGCTCCTCCTCCTCCTCCTCCTCCTCCTCCTCCTCCTCCTCCTCCTCCTCTTCGCATCCCTGCGCCTGCTCTCCCTCCGCATGCCAAGGTCGGCACACCCCCACACGCCTCGTGCCCCCACGGGAAGACCCGCCTGCAGCTCCAGAGGGGGGGATCCCGCGCGCCCCTCCGCGTTCGTGCCCGCGCGCGCCCACTGCACGCCGTGCCCCCGGCTGCGTGGAGCTCCGCCTGCGGCCCACGTGGGGATGGTGCGCACGCCGCCGCGCGCCCCGCTGCGGCGCACCCCTCGGCGCGCTTCGCGCCCCCCTGCGTCTCCAGGGCCTCCAGGAGGGGGGGGGGGTCCCGCGTGCCGCCCCGCGCCCGCTCCGGCGCGCGCGCGCGCCTCGTGCGCCGCGTGCCCCCCGAGGGGCGTGCCGCCCACGGCCCCCTGGCCCAGCGGGCGCGGCCGCAGGCCGCCCGACGCCAGCCTCGCCACGTCGCCCCGCCTCTCGCGCAGATCGTGCCCCGCACGGGGGGCTTCCGCGCGCCCGTGCGCAGTGCCCCGCGGCACGCAGGCTGTGAGAAGGGGGCCACGCCCTGCGCGACACGCAGCCGAGTTGGGCTGGGCCCCTCGGGCTACTTGCTCGCAGGCGGGAGGGAGGGAGGGGGGGGGGGGAGGGAGGGAGGAGGAAGAGGAGGAGGAGGAGGAGGAGGAGGAGGAGGAGGAGGAGGAGGAGGGAAGGAGGAGGAGCGGGAGGAGCAGGAGGAGGAGGAGGAGGAGTTAATACTTTTTTTTTATTTTTTTTTTTTTTATTTTTTTTTTTTTTTTTTTTTTTTTTTTTTTTTTTTTTCACTCCATTTTTTTTGTTTTTTTATTAATAATAATAATAATATTATTATTAATAATAATAATACTAATGATATCAATGATATCAGTAATGATACTACTAATAGTCATAATACGAATAATATGCATAAGCATAACTATGATACAAATAATACTACTAGAAATAATAATAATGTTAATGATGATACTAATAATAGCAATACTAATAATACGAGTAGGAATAGTAATAACACTGATAATGATAATACTGATAGTAGTAACACTAATAATCATAATTCTAATAATAATAATGATCGTAATAGTAATAGTGCCAATAATAGTAGTAGTAGTAGTAGTAGTAGTAGTAGTAGTAGTAGTAGTAGTAGTAGTAGTAGTAGTAGTAGTAGTAGTAGTAGTAATAGTAGTAGTAGTAGTAGTAGTAGTAGTAGTAGTAGTAGTAGTAGTAGTAGTAGTAGTAGTAGTAGTAGTAGTAGTATGTAGTAGTATGTAGTAGTATGATTAATGCATGATGATGATGAGGGATGGATGATGATGATGATGATGATGATGATGATGATGATGATGATGATGATTGCATGATGGAGATGATGATGATGATGATGATGATGATGATGATGATGATGATGATGATGATGATGGTGATGATGATGATGATGATGATGATGATGGTGGTGATGATGATGGTAATAATAATAATAATAATAACCATAACATAATATAATAATAATAATAATAATAATAATAATAATAATAATAATAATAATAATCATACTAATAATAATAATAGTAATAATAATAATAAGACAAAGAAGACGAACAATGACACGAGTACGTGGATGAAAGGAAGGAGGAGGAGGAGGCGGAGGAGGAGGAGGAGGAGGAGGAGGAGGCGGAGGCGGAGGCGGAGGAGGAGGCGGAGGCGGAGGAGAGGCCGCAGGCGGAGGAGCCGACGGCGGGGGCGGTTGCTGTGAAAGGACAGGGGCAAGGAGGGCGAGGGATGCCCCGACCTGGCCAGAGGAGCCGAAGAAGGACCTCATCGCGTGGAAGGGCAACTCCTACCTCGACGAGGAACGGCCAAGCGAGTTCGGAGGAGGTCGAGGAGGAGGAGGAGGAGGAGAAGGAGGAGGAGGAGGAGGAGGAGGAGGAGGAGGGGGGGAGGGGAGGGAGTTGGGCGGGGGCTGAGGGAGGAAGGGAGGGAGGGAGGAGGAGGAGGAGGAGGAGGGGAGGGAGGAGGAGGGAGGGAGGGAGGGGGAGGTCTTGGAGGAGGACGGAGGAGAGGAGGGAGAGAGCGAGGAGGAGCGGAGGAGGAGGGGGAGGGGAGGAGGAGGAGGAGGAGGAGGAGGAGGAGGAGGAGGAGGAGGAGGAGGAGGAGGAGGAGGAGGAAGGCTCCCCTTTCCCCTCGCTGCCGCACCCTGGGGGGTGAGTGGGGAGCAGCCACGGAGGAGGCTGCATCCCAATCGAAGGGCCTCTGATGGCGGCACAACTAGTGATCCTTGACCGGGCATCTCCGGGCATGATCCGAGCTGCCCGGACATGAAAGGGCATGCCCAGGTATCATCTGCTTTGACCGTCCTTGTCTCGAAGAAACGGCTCGACTCCACGTAAGAGTGACCTTTCGCCGGAGTGACCTTTGGTGCGGGCCCACCAGGGCCCCCCGATCGCCGAACGGGATG